GTCTCTGCCGGTCGTCTCTGCCAGTGTGTCGTCTCTGCCAGTGTCGTCTCTGCCGGTCGTCTCTGCCGGTCATCTCTGCCGGTCGTCTCTGCCAGTGTGTCGTCTCTGCCAGTGTCGTCTCTGCCGGTCGTCTCTGCCGGTGTCGTCTCTGCCTGTCGTCTCTGCCGGTGTTGTCTCTGCCGGTGTTGTCTCTGCCGGTCGTCTCTGCCGGTGTTGTCTCTGCCGGTCGTCTCTGCCGGTCGTCTCTGCCGGTCGTCTCTGCCATCTCTCTGCCAAGGTCTGCTGCAGGGATCTCGGATCCAAGGACAGGCTCCACCTCACCTCCAGCTCTTCTCTCTTGATGGCAGTGAGATCCCCTCTCTGCCTCTGGGAAGGCTCCTCTTAAGCCTGGCAGAGTGACAGGACTAACCAATGCCCACATTAGCGTTCCACATACCTTATTTGCACGGTCCCACCCAGTAATCTGGTGGGAGTCACAAACAATGGCTAGAAAAGCCATGCCATGTAATTCGCTGCACCCGCCCCAAACCGCACACGTACCCTATTCATTCCAGGGCCACATCTCGGGGGCAAGGAGCCATTCCTGGTGGAAGCCACCCCTGGGCACTTCTGTGCCCTAATCCAGCCTGGCACAGGTCCATGAGTGCTCAGCCTGCCCACTGGCTGTGAGCCTGGCGCCGTGGCTGGCCCAGGGCTGCCTGCAGACCAGCCCTCCTCCACCACCTTCTGTGTGGCACCAGAGCCAGAGCCAGGCCGAGATCGCAGTCCCTCGACTCCAGCCCAAATGACTTAATGGTTAAGGGACCGATTCAGAGTGTACTCGGGGCCTAAGCTGCCGTGACGGAGCCCAGCTCGGGCCCCTCCCAGCTGCGTGAACTAGGGCCGGCCCCTCTGGGCCTCGGCTGCCTGGTGTGTGAAACGGGGACACTCAAGGGTTAACCGGAGCATCACGGCTGAAGGGCTCAGAAGAGGCCCCGGGGCCCGTGAGGTGTGACGGCCCGTGAGCCACTGGCCTCACCTGCCTGGGCACCGATGCCACCTGCCTGGGCACCAATGCCAGTGCCACCCCGGATGGTGACCGGGCTGCAGGCCGTCCTTCGGGATGTTCTGCCCCTCCTTGGAGCTGTGCTGCCCACAGAACAGGGCTCGCCAAAGCCTCAGCACCGCCCGCTGGTGCAGCGAGGAGTGGAGTCCAAGCCAGAACCTGTTTTCCTGGCGGAATTCCAGCACGCCCAGCATGCGGCTGGAGAGGCAGGAAGAGACGGGTGGCTTCCCAGGAAAGCAAGCAGAGACAGGCTCTCAGATGAAGATGCAAGATGAGAAGGCAGGGCCGGACAGCTGCAGGTGGCTTCTGGGAAAGCTGACAGACCAGCTGAACGGCCTCGAGTTAAGGTGCAGGAAGCCAGAGGCAGTGGGGGTGGCAAGGATGGCAGGCTGGTGGGCCTACTGTCCCCAGAGGGTACGCCACAGGTCTCTGTGGCTAAGCAACAGTCTGGCGCAGGACGTGAGGTTTACTTCACCTTTCCGGATCACGCCAGGCACAAAGCCGTCGGAATCCTATGCCCTAAAATACTTCAAGATGTGCCTACTTCTCTGGAGGGCCCTTCAATTATCAGACACTTAAAACGCAGGCATACCATGGCTTTGTCCCAAACCTTCAGGCAAGTCACCAAGATCTACAAGCGACCCTAACAGGCTGTATAGGAGACCTGAAGCTGCCATCAGCCACCGTGCACAGGGCAGGTTTATTTAGCCGCTACTCTGGTGATTTATGAGTCGGGGCCGACTCGACGGCACATAACAACAACAACAACAACAACTGGTGATTTAGAAGTTCTGGTGGTGCAGTGGTTAAAGCATTTGGCTGAGAATCAAAAGGTCAGCAGTTCAATCCCATCAGCCACTCTGTGGGGTAAAGATGAGGCAGTCGGCTTCCATAAAGATGTACAGCCTCGGAAACCCTGAGGGACAGTTCTCTTCTGTCCTGTAGGGTTGCTCTGAGTCAGAAACGACTCGATGAGGATGGGTTGGTTTGGGGTGGTCCTGGCCCGTGAGTTCGAGGAGGTGCCACGCTCATCCTAGAGCTGCTTCTCTTAACCCAGCAAAGCGACCCAGTTTGCGCTTATCTTTTGTGGGTGTTTTCACCTCTCATGTTGCCCTGGCATCCCCTTGTAAACGGGAAGCAGACCACATCTTTAAAGCAGCTACGTCGCTGCTCACAGCAGATTCCACCATGGAGGTGACTGCCAGTCTCAGCACGGGAAATAACCACCTCTCGCTGCCCAGCCACTCACCCAGGCCCAGCCAAGTTGGCAACAACCTTAACTACCACACCTAACAAATCCTGAACCCGTGTCCTTGACGAGAGAACTCCCAGGACTTCAGAGTCTGCTCCGAATCCCCTCCGCCACTTACCAGCGGCAGCCCCTCAAGGCCCAGTCACTGCCTCTAAAGGGGGGATGACAACAGGCCCGTCTCCCTGGGCTGTGATTCTATGAGGCTGTAAACACCAAGCCCAGTCAGGACGCACAAACCAGCACAGACAACAAACGGCACTAAGACCAGACGTCCAGCCAAGCCCGTGACCACTGACGTCCGCACTGACCAGACTCAAAGCCCTGGACGGGACACGCACCATCTCGGCTCCCTAGCGCTGCTGTCACAGAAACACCACAGGTGGTGGCTTTCACAAACAGACATCACTCTCTCACAGGCCAGGAGGCCAGCCGTCCACGCTGAGGGCGTCGGTCTCGGGGAAGGCACTCTGTCCCTGACAGATCTGGGGGAGGGTCCTTGTCTCTTCATCTTCTGTTTCCTGGTTCCCTGGAATCTGTGGGTGGCTTGGCCCCTGTCTCTCCCCACCTCTGCTTCCTGATCTCTGCCTGATCAGCCTGGAGATGTCTGAAAGGTGATCCGCATGCATACCTCACGTGATCCGCATGCATACCTGCACAATAAATAAAAATCTACTCCCAAGTGGGGTTACAGCCACAGGTATGGGGGTGAGGAATCACAACATGAATTGTGGGGGAGCACAATTCAATCCCTAACACACAGGAAGAGCCTTAAGTGGGGACTCAAAAAAGCCAATAGGAGCAGGCAGACTGGGCAGGGAAGTCAACAGCTGGTGAGTGACCAGCGAGGACCTAGCGTTCACTCTCCTCTTTAATCACCAGCTTTGACCCGAAGCTGCCTCAGATAACCTGGCTGTGGTGAGAAAAGGCCCTGAGAGGAGACCCCAAATCTGTCCCCACTGGCTAGAGGAACCAGAGCCAGGGGGGTGCCCCAGAGAGGACAGGGCTGGACAGAGGCAGCCCTGGCACTGTGTCTGAATCTACACATCCCCTGGGCCCCCAGACGCACAGGCGCAGAATGCACCCAGAGAAGCAGAACACGGACAAGCCTGAAACACACAGAGTGAACTAGGTCAGTGCAAAAGGGCAGATACTATGGAGATAAGATGACCTCAATGTAGGAACAAGAACCGATGGTACTGAAGGAAGAAGTCGAAGCTGCACTGAAGAAATTGGTGAAGAACAAGGCTCCAGGAATTGACAGAATACCCATTGAGATGTTTCAACAAACA